TGCATTCAACTCCCCGTTCGAACTCGAGAATCAGTAAAAGTCTACTGCTATTCACATCAACCTCTCCATCGTCGTTTTCACGGGTAGGTCACGCTTATTTCCATTTCTCGAACGTTTCACTTTGAAATATTTTTCAGTTTTTCTTGCGATTGATAAACTGTGTTAGTACGAAAATTTATTGAAGAAATTCTTCAACATTTTCTAACAATCATTTTATTAAAGTCAACAAAATGCAGTGGAATTCTGCAGGATATTTCATTGTGAGCGGGTATTGATAATAAGGAATGTTTTCAGAATATGCAAAACTCATTCTCGGAGAGTTCAAGCCAGCTCAGTGCAGATAACGAAGTGATAATGAAGGATGATTCTGAGTGTATTGAACAAGAGAGTGGCCACAATTCTTTGGCACTTCCATTCAACAAACTCGATTTCTCACAAATATGAATTCATAGCACTGACACCTTCTACACTTCAGTATATTTACAGTCAGTTTATCCAATTCACATCGCATTCGCATCACTACCCTTAACAAATAATTCAACTCATTATTATTATGTGTCTAATTTATTCTCTAATATCCACAAAAATGGTTATATTCAGAAACTTTTGGAGCAAATAGACCAAAATGTTCTCACTCAGCACGGGTATTTGGTGATATAATGATCTCATGAATAGATTAATTCATTGTTCACAATCTTAATGTAATTTACAATGTAATAGTAATATTCTGTAGTATTGTGTTTACTCTGTTTTTATTCCTGTGCTCACCCGATATAATTGTTCGTAGTGAGAGTAAGTTAACTGCAATTGTAACAGGTATCGTGTCCCGTTGTATTGTTGTGGTTCTTCAGTTAATATTTAATATTTATCGGTCATTTTCATCGCGGTGCTTTTACCCTCACGCCTCTTCATTATCTTATTATTATGATTATTATCTTATTATTATTATTATTCTCACCTGTAAACTGAAATTTGCTCTATGTGTAAGTTGCCGTCGATTTGCTTGTTCATACGTTATCTTACAATTGTTATTATTATTATTGCATTTGTAACAGGTATAGCATGTGCGTGATGGATGATTTTACATGCAATATCATATATTGTGTGTAATCTTATTATTCAGGTTCATATTGTGTGCAAATTTTGAAGAGAATTCAATATTTTCTTCGTTTTGTTTTCCTTTTTTCTTTGATATTGATATGAACGTGTAAATGGAAACTTCTTTTGGAGATATTTTCGATTTCAAATCTCATTGTCAGAAATTGTTTCGTTCGAATTTATTATGGGTATGTATTATGAATGATGCGCTTTCATTTGCTTTGATTTTGTGCAAGATTCCGATAGAAACAAGGTATTATGATTGTTATTATTATTATTATTATTAGTATGATTGTTATAATTATTATTAGTATGATTGTTAATGCTTTCTCACTGAAACATTCGAATTGCTATCATGATTCTGAAATCATTCTGTCTTATTTATTGTACTGAAATATAGCGTGTAATTGAAAGTGAGTTGGTAGAATCCTTTTGAAATGACCTCTGAATTGTAAAATCACAAAGTTATGTCATCAAATGCGTAATCCCATATGATCATAATCTTCTGTTCTGCCTTATAGTATCAGGAACGTTTTCAGATTGTTTGCTCATCTAGTTACGTATTACATTATTTTTGAAATCATCTCTTTATTTTTGAAGTATGTGAAGGTATATTTGATTAGACGTGCTCGATATGGCGAGATGCTGCTGGCGAGGACGTTATTCTTTCGATTTTCGCTTAAAATTTAAATGAATCGAAAATTTTCGAGTTGTTGCGATATCAGCGATAAGCATTAAAGATATTGCATTGCACAGATACTAAAAAATAGAGTCGTTCAAGCGTCTCGTGTATGTATTGGAACGTTGTGATTTGTGTGTGTAAGATGGCACTTGGAAGTAATCTCAGGGTGGACGCAGATTAATTTTAACTTAACTCATTTCATGTGCTTTTAATCAAACTTATCTTATATATATTCATTCATATTCCAATTCTTCTGTGCATATCCGTTTAATGTGCTCAATAAACAATTTTTATCTTTTCGGTTAGGGCATTCAGTTTGCTGAGTCAAACATATATATGGTCACTAAACCATTCAGTCACACCGATAAGCGTTATCTTCGAGTAATGTGCAGATTTTAATTTTGATTTTTTTTCATTTTGATAAGTACCACCACTCATAATATTTTTTACCTTTTCAATTTATCGTAATGCTCAGCAGATTGACTAGTCATGAATTTGACTAAATTAATCATATCTCTACGACAAGGCGATATTATTGGATATTTCATTCCGTCTGGACGAATATCACTGTGATCTAGTTTGCATGTTAGCAGTATATGCAGGTCTAGATTAGCCTCCTGTAAGCCTGAGTGTATAATTGGAATCAAACCTGATTCGACCTAAAATGTAGTCACCTGAATTGCTAGACCTGGACGAGGTTTATTACTCTCATTCGTCCGAAATGATATCGAAGGGGTAAAATTGAATGCAGATCGCCAGTAATATGAACCTCAATTCTCAATTGTAAACAGATTCCTTCAAATGACATTCAAATCAAATCTTCAGCAAATGAAACCTTCTTCTTCAGTCTCCAAAAATACGGACGCTCTCACGTCGTTGATATCATACGCACTTCCTCCGTTCCTATCCAGCGATCATCATACAAGCACGAATAACAGTCATCCATCAGCTATTGATATCAATCAAGTAATTCACGATGTATTATCCTTCATTATTCCATCAGCATTTCAGCAGCAATTCAATCATTCCCCATTGAGACTGATAACATCCAAAACACTTCTTCAATCACTTCAAATCACGTTAACTGTTTCAATTTGCAGTTCACTTCAAGTCGTCACATAATACCGTCGTCATCTGTCCCAACTCATCCCTCGCAATCACCTGATCTGGAAACTGTCTCAGCAAGACACTCAGTTCCGTCGGATAATCAACTAAAACCAAGCAATAATAATAATAAAATCTCAAACAATATCACCACGAATCCTAAAGATATCCCCTCCAATAAAGAATCTTCGACAAAGCAAACCACTAAACCGATCTTAACAAACACCAATAATAGCAATCGTAATCCTCACCACCGAAAGAAGAAAACCGTTGCTTTCGGTAGAACTGTGAATGTCTCACAAACAATTGAGGTCAATTTCGATTACTTCGTGAATATTTTCTTAATGAATATCCAAAATATAAATGGAATTGTTCAGTTTTCACCCTTCAGATGAACATTTCAGGCTGATCTCTGCTAAAATAATAATTTTCTGAACAATCACTCAATATTTTCGATTAGAACTCATCAAAATCTAGCCAATATAACAGTGAATTGTTCATATTCCATGTGAATCTCAGGGTTCTAAACCAAAGAAGATGTCAAATCTAACGGCACCTGTAAGAGAACGAAAAGACTCCGTGCAAACCGCATTGACTAATGAAGAGCTAATGACCATAAAGCAGACGGTACAATTATTATTTTCCGAATATTCCCTAATTATCCTCAAAAACATGCGCTTTCCATTAATCAAAAACTTTTCCAACTGTTTCATCGATTAAAAACCGAAGATTTTCACTAATAATAGCAACTCAATGAAGTGATAACAGAAATTGGAATTGAAGGTTGATGAGCTGAAAAATTCGGTTGATCAACTGAAACAAAACGATTTGGCCAAAGACAAATTGCTGGCTGAGTTGGAAAGGAAATATGCGAAGCAAGAAAGGGAAATGCTTGAATTGAGCGATATGATGAAGGTATTAACTTCAGTTTCACTCATCCACTTCAATTGTCTATCAAAAAGATGTCAAAATTACGGTTTCGGTTTAAAATCAATTTCAGATTAATCACGATTTTATCGAAGTCTAGGTTCGATTCCCCATTGTGCATAACTGAAAGCATTTGGTTCGCCCGACAGAATGCATGATTCGTTGCTTTTTCAACAGTCATACCAACGCAATAAGCACATCATATCACAAATTCCACCCAATACCTTTCTTCCCGCAGCTATTCTTTCTGTGTTGTTGAAAATTCATATTCTTTCCCACA